CCTACTTGCTTGAAGACATCTCACAGGCATTATCTTTTTTCTTACAGTTCCAAAGACACAATATACAAATACAAACATAAGGGCTTACAAGTCACATCCTAAACTAAACATAAGTTTGGGGAGTGATGTTCCTGTGGGGAGAAGTGCGAATTAGTGACACCTTCTGCCACAGAGCCCAGCAACAGACTGGTCTTAATGTAAATGCATGGTTGGTCTGGAAGGACTATGCTCTGGGGAACCTGCAGGAGTTAGACGGACTTAGCTACACCAATTGGTAATAATCTGTGAACAATGAATGCAGGAGCTAAGGTCTGTCAACTAGCAGTACAGACAAAATGACAGTAAGATGTGCTCTGGAAAAATGACTGCAGCGTTTAATTTTTTTTTTTAACAGTGCCATGGTCACCTGATATGCATCCTCTTGGCAGTGACAAGAGATTCTCTTGGAAGAGAATTGGACAAAAGAATTTTCCAGGTTCTGCCACAGACCCTCTATGAGATCTTAGTCAGGTCACTAAGTCTTGCTGTACTTTATAACTTGAGGGTAGTAATATTTAACTCCTCTCAATGTCCTTTATCTGTGAGTTTTCTGGAAGAAGCTCTTGATCTGCATTTGCCAACACTAGATTTCTAGCAATCAGAGGGAAAAAAAAAGCATTCTCTTCTCCAAAGTTGGAAATATTTTGTTGAAAATCTCTGGTTAGAACACTTTCCATTTTCAAGCGGAATGTTGAGATGTGCTAAGAAAATCAGACATTTCACACAAAATCTTTTCCCCCCAGCCCTTTGTTTTCTGTCAGGGAAAAAAAAAAAATCTATCCTATTATCTGTAATAGACAAGCCTGGTGGACATATTTCTGGGATACAGGACTCCTGGATTTAAAAGCAGACAGACTACAGGTTAAAATTACAGGTTAAAGTTACAGGGGCCACTGCTGAACAAGGTGGGTGTCCAGGTGATGGAGGATGCAGAGAAGGCAGAGTTACTGAATGCCGCCTTTGCTTCAGTCTTTAGTGCTAAGGCCGGCCCTCAGGAATCCCAGGCCCTGGAGGTAAGAGAGGAAGCCTGCAGAAAGGATGACCTTCCCTTGGTCAAGGAGGGTTATGTGAGAGATCACTTCAGCAATCTGGATGCCGACAAAACCATGGTCCCCAATGGAATGCACCCACAAGTGCTGAGGGAGCTGGCGGACATCATTGCTGAGCCACTCTCCATCATCTTTGAAAGGTCCTGGAGGACAGGAGAGGTGCCTAAGGACTTGAGAAAAGCCAATGTCACTCCAATCTTCAAAAAGGGCAAGAAGGAGGACCCAGGGAACTACAGGCTGGTCAGCCTTACCTCCATCCCGGGAAAGATGATGGAGCAACACAATCTAGAGGTCATCATCAAGCAAGTGGAGGAGAAGAATCACAGAATCACAGAATGTTCGGGGTTGGAAGGGACCTCTGTGGGTCATCTAGTCCAACCCTCCTGCCGAAGCAGGACCACCTACAGCAGGCTGCACAGGACCTTGTCCAGGTGGGTCTTGAATATCTCCAGAGAAGGAGACTCCACAACCTCTCGGGGCAGCCTGTTCCAGTGCTCCGTCACCCTCAGAGGGAAGAAGTTCTTCCTCATGTTCAGACGGAACTTCCTGTGCTTCAGTTTGT